CCAGACGATTTTACTCGCAAGTGGTAGAGCACTGCCAGTTACTGGATTAAGCTGCAATAAGCACAAGAATATTTTACCTGTCAAGGGTATTTAGTCTTGCGCACTAATGGGTTAATCATGAAATTTTATTCTATATGTTGTCTTAATAGGCATCTGGATGGTCACCACAAGCTGATCAGGTGGAGAATGGTCATCCATGGTTGTGTTGATGGCTTTTCAAGGGTAATTGTCTTCCTTAAATGTTCTAACAACAATGAGGCACTAACAGTGCTGGAGTCATTCCAAAGTGCTGTAAACACCTTTCACTACCCTCGGCGAATACGCACAGATCATGGTACAGAAAATGTGGAAGTGGCCAGGTTCATGCTTCACAAGTATGGTATTACAACAAACCCTGTCATAACAGGAAGATCGATACATAATCAACGCACTGAGAGAATGTGGAAGGATGTGTTTGCCTATGTCTTGCAGTATTTTTATAATCTCTTTTACTTTATGGAGTCTCAAGATATTCTAGACCCAGACAATGAACTGCATCTTTTTGCATTACAGTATATTTATATTCCTCGTGTAAAGTGGGCATTAGATTATTTCACATTACAGTGGAATAACCATCCAATGTCAACTCAAGGAAATAAAAGTCCTCTACAGTCATGGACAGCTGGCTTTTACGAGTTTGCTGAATCAAATTATACAGTTGTAAGAGATGTCCTTGACGTTGACACCATCAATTTTGATCATTATGGTATCGACGATGATGGCCCAAGACCCCAAATAGAAACAAGTAATAATGTTGTTGTTCCGAGATCAACAATCCAACTCAGCATGGAAGAAACCCGAGCACTTACAGATGAGATTTCACCGTTAAGCGAGGACAATGACAATGGTGTTCATTTATATCAAAGAACAGTTGCATTTGTTAATAATTTTTTTGACAGCGATGTGGAAAGTAGTTGAAAATATCATTTGAGGAAAAGTAATCCGATTATTCCGATCGATGAACAATATGTACTGTAAGTTTTTGTAAATTGCTGTAACAAAGGATATTACAATATTATAAAATTGTTGGTTTGAACAATAAATCATTATAACAAATAGCATACTGTACTATAGCAAAAGCCATAGCATAAACTGTGCATTATAAGCCCTGGGCTAATACATACAATTTCGTAAAGGATTCTGATGGGCTTATACACAGGGAATCTTGTAATAGGTGGGGGGTGGCGGACTTATAAGCATTATTAAAATTTTAAAACCTTTTGGGAAATAAGTTGGGACTAACATACAGCATTGTCAATGTACTGTATGTTTTTATTTGCTGGTCTCTAATTAATCAAGCACTTCTTCCTCACTACTGGTATCTCCATTTGCATCACAAATACTTGTATGTCAACAAGTCAGATATCTGCTGTCAACACAACTTGTATGATCTCATTCACGCTTAAAACATTGAACTAAATAATCTCATAGTGATACCAGCATAGCCAGATTACTAGTGAGTGGGATTGGGTGGGGGTTAATAAACGGACAGGCTTATAAGCGGAGGGCTTATAATCTGCAGTTTAAAGAACAATGAGAACCACTTGTATGCCAACAGTTTCAAATTATGTTTTAGAATATGTGACATATCTTCATTGGCTGTCATTACAAACACAACTCCCCTTAAACTATAACATTAATAAATGTAAATTGTCTTATACCAAAGATGTTGCAATGTTCACAACTTGATGAGGGTCACTACACATGATCATGCTTTGCCGACACGGGACAAATGTGATGAAAAGCTGTACGACGTAAGATGTAAAATCAAACAGGTAATTAATCCATTAACTGGCATTGCGCCCCAATGCGCCCTACTTTTAGTATTTACTCTGTCTAACGCCAGACGATTTTACTCGTCAGTCGTAGAGTACTGCCAGTTAATGGGTTAAAGGAAATAATCAAAAAGGTTACAACCTCATGGTTGCTTAATTAAACAGTCTTTTGTTTTCAATTCAGCACTAGGAAAATCATACAGCTAATGATGAACTGTGTTGATCAAAATCATCCAACCTTCAATAATCCCATCCCTGCAAAAAGCACAATCATGCAAATAGTGTCTATACATATGTTCAGTGAGCATACAGCGAGTACTGTACATTATAAAGTTCCCTGTTGTTAAAAATCTTAAACCTTGTCAAATCCACAGCATTCGGTTAGAGCTGAAATAAGCAGATCCCCAAGTTCTTCAGAGCGGCATAAATGTACTGGTAAAGTAAGTGTTAAGGAGCATGTTGATGATACAGGTCTGCACTTGCATCCAACTGCACAGCCATGGAGGAATTTGATTTTAATTCGTGAGGGAAACCCAATGGGAGGCATCTGATATGTTCCAGTAACAAACTTAACCACATGTCTGAGTGATAAATCAGGTGCTTCATCAATTCCTAGTATAAGAGATAAAAATAAAAGTTCATTAATTTAACTTACTTTTACTTACTTTTACTTTCATTAATTTAACTTACTTACTTAAAAACACTTTTGACTTCAAACATAAAACAACGTGACAGCAACAGGGGACAGTTGGGCAAAACTCATTTACAATAGCTTGAACTGCGTTAATTTCTGTAATAAACATGCAGTTGCAAATTGATTGCTCAGGTTCACAAACTTTAGTTTAGTTGCTAAAATAACTGGTTTGCCGGTCTTTTATCGAATGTAGAGCTTAACAGCTTAAGCATTTGCCATCCTGAAGCTCACAATTAATAACTATAATATTATAAAGCAAATACAAGCAAATACCCCCATGTTCAAGAGTAAGAATAAAATCGGTGAAATATTTAAAAATATCTTCCTCTTTTTCTTTCAGTGCCTGCTGGGCACTATACATGACAAGGAGTCCATCCAGGAAGGTATGTGCTGAGATCTCATAAATAGAACTTGGAGTAAACAATTGTTTGAACAGCGCAAGATGGTTCTTCATACTACAGAGAAGGTCGAAGTGCTGCAGACCTTCTTCCAGATCCTTGAGGACAGGTATCCTTGGAGCTAACAACTCTTTTACACAAATTGATCTAAATTAAATTTTAATTACATTTTGAATTAATAACCTGTTTCGTTTATATTTTAAGATACCAATCCTGGTCTAATGTGTACTCACAACAACCTAACTATTATGAAGTTAAGTGTGGTGATATTGAAAAAAAAGGAAAGTTTTTCTTTCATTTAACAACATCATTCAACATCACAGTGCTAGATGAAAAGAACAATTTGAGGTTTTGACAATTGACCAACCAAAATCAGTTTCATATGTTGAACTGCACAACGTCCAAAGACCAGTAATGAGTACTAACTTTAACCCATGAACTGGCAATGCGCCCTACTTTTAGTATTTACTCTGTCTAACGCCAGACGATTTTACTCGTCAGTGGTAGGGTACTGCCAGTTAAAAGGTTATTATTGTTAGCAATGTAAACTTGATTGAAGATAGTTACAGATCTATGGCATTAAATGGAAACTGATACCTGACCAATTTATCTTTGTTGGCGAGAGATTCACGGACGATTGGGACAAACTTGACTGGTTGTTTTGTCTCACTGAAGCAATGCTAGGAAACAAGTGATTTATTTCACTCTCCACTGATTCATTCCTTTCACGGTTTTGATTGGTTCCAGTGCCATTATTTGCAGATCTAATATTTTCAACTGCATTTATTAAACGGTTCAACAGCTGCTCCGCCATGCTTGCAGCTCGCTTTGTTTTTGTTAAATTTATTTCCTGCCAATAGCCAATTACGTATAACTTGCGCCTGCAATCGGTCAGCAGCTTATTGTGCGCCCGCGATCGGTTTATATTTTGAAATCGATTTATATTTCGAAATCGGTTTATATTTTGAAATCGATTTATATTTCAAAATCGGTTTATATTTTGAAATCGGTTTATATTTTGAAACCGGTTTATATTTTGAAATCGGTTTATATTTTGAAATCGGTTTATATTTTCAAACCGGTTTATATTTTGAAACCGGTTTATATTTTGACACCGGTATATATTTCCATATTGGTTTATGTATTTACTGTTTCAAGTATTATATATTTGAAAGAAGTATTAATTTTCAACAAGATATATTATATTTCTAAATGAAGTATTATATTTTCAAATGAAGTATTTTTGTCCGCTTTGGCGCGTCATATAAACATAGTTGTGTATAGGAATGACAGAAAAAAACTTATGTTAGTAGTGCATACCATACAGAATTTTCTATTTTTTAAATACATAATATAGGTAATATAATATAGTACAATTTTATGTCTCAAAATTTTCTAAAAGTATGAAAATATAAGAAACGTACATTTCTTAAACTGAGAACAATGAAAAATGTCATAAGTTAAAAAGATAAATAGACTAAATTAGTATTTAAAAATGGTAGAAGCGGTAAATTAGTATGTTATTTGTAAATGTAAAAATATTTGCCACATTTTTATCTGTAATAAATTTTTTTCACTAGTTGTTTCTCTTTTTCCTTCACCTTGGTAAATAACTCTTTTAGTCAATTTGCGCATGATTTCCATATTTAGCCCACAAACACAGAGTTGCAAAAAAAGATTGCCTCGGGAAGCTCTTGAAAGGTGAACTAGCCAGTGGCTGCTTGAATAAACTCTTTATTTAATATTTCACAGGGAATTGGATCATACAAATAATTCCATCTAGGACGGAAGCATATAGTTGAAAAGCTGGCTTCCTTCCGAACAGGGGAATGGCTACATTATGGTGAGTTTTTTGTGGCTAACCACTATGTTATACTGAAACAAGGATGTCAATCCACCCTTTTCGAGGTTGACCTGCGGGGGGGGGAGGGTAACACGTGTAGTGCGATGCTAATTTTTCGGACAAACATAAATGTAATATGCAGGGGCGTAGCCAAGGCGGGGGGCGACCGCCCCCCCCCCCCAATCGCAAAAAAACCATTCTCTGAAAAAGGCTAAATCCGTAGAGAAATGGGGGGGGGTACATGTTACATTCCCTAAGCTGAAACTGATTAAGTACGTCGCGCGACTAAGGAAAACGAGGATATACTGGAGGAACTTGATTTGTAAAATCTCGTTAATTAAAGCAGTTTTAGATATGGTTCCAACCACACATAACATGCACAATTGAACTGGCTTTTTAGGCAGTTATCTTTATTGTTTGCCTTAACCCTTAATGTTTCCGCAACAGTCATACCTGGGCGAACGTCCTTGGATATATCACGTTTTTTATACCATTCACGCGCCTTTTGTACACGGTTTTTAAGCCATTTCATCATACTTTTGTAAACAACTTTGAATTCATTTACGTTAGGATCAATAAGCCTTTTCTTTGTTATGCCAGATTTCACAGCTAAAAAAAACAAGTTTCACTTGGGACATAGTAATTGTTAGTTTAGTGAAAAAACTGTTTTACTCGCATTATTTCATAAATTTTATGTTTTTTAGATCGTCACAGAGCTATGGGAGACGTAAATGCCATGTTAAAAATTTTGGGTGATAAACTGTGGGAACATTTACCACAATTACGGATCCTAACTTACAAATTGTTGTAAGTATTTGTATGTTGTTGTTATTTGTAAGTAATTGTTTTGGTTCCCGCAGAAATAGTAAAATATATCTGGCAAATGCTACGCGCATGGTTTCATTAGTTAATGCATGTTCTGAGATTTTAGAAAACCCGTACATGTTTACAAAAAAAATATTAATTATGGCTGTTTTGTGAATAGCTGCAAGGGACGTCAGAGCCTACACAGTTGGAAAGAGAGTCGACGTCAACGTGTCTCCGTCCGAAGTTCCCCTGTAGCAAGTAAAGTGCTTGTTTATTACTGAAAGTGCCTCTAATAAACCATCAAGGCGTTCTTCGGTTTCACGATATTTTCTCTCGTTTGCAAAATATCGATTGAGTCTTGAATATCGATTGAGTCTGCACGTTTAGTGAAGAAACAAACAGATATTGGACTAGCTACAATATATTTTAAAAACAGAAATATGTTGAGCACGAGGAAAGATATTGAGAAACTGAAAAGGCTGTTATGATTATGTAGTTGAAATGATCTTTTGTTGCGATACAAATTAGACCGCCGTTTTTTTTTTCCATTTTATCGGCACCTTTAGGCTCTAGCCGTGTAGACGGAAAGTCGAAGAAAAAGAAACGGAGAGATGAGAACGAAGGTTGTTGTTTCCTTTTCTCTTTAAACGTTACTACATATAAATTCTGTCATGATTCACTTCAGAAGTCTGAGCATCGAAAGATATGACTCGTTTGATCTTTAATGTCTGTTTTTGTGTTCTCTTTGACAGATATTGAAACAATCTTACAGCGGTTCACCGTGGACGATTTACGTTGAGATGGGAGTAGGTTAGCGTTGCGCATGATTTCCATATTTAGCCCACAAACACAGAGTTGCAAAAAAAGATTGCCTCGGGAAGCTCTTGAAAGGTGAACTAGCCAGTGGCTGCTTGAATAAACTCTTTATTTAATATTTCACAGGGAATTGGATCATACAAATAATTCCATCTAGGACGGAAGCATATAGTTGAAAAGCTGGCTTCCTTCCGAACAGGGGAATGGCTACATTATGGTGAGTTTTTTGTGGCTAACCACTATGTTATACTGAAACAAGGATGTCAATCCACCCTTTTCGAGGTTGACCTGCGGGGGGGCGGGGGGGTAACACGTGTAGTGCGATGCTAATTTTTCGGACAAACAAACGACATTCAGCTTTTCGGTCATGTTGTATTATAATACTGTAATAAATATTACTTTAATGGTTAAACGATATGCTTGTGCTCCAAAGTACTATCCATGTTTATATTATAATAATCTTACTTAGTGTTGTTTGTTTGTCCGAAAAATTAGCACGTGTTACCCACGCAGGTCAACCTCGAAAAGAATGGCTGTAAGTTAAAGGCATAGGTGTTAAACTTATTCTGATTGGCTTAGAGGGAAAAATGTAAACAAACGTGCTATAATTATGCGAGAACGAAATTCGCCCTTGTTACGACGATTTGCTCCGAAAAAATGTTTTGCAGGAAATGTGGTTATTTTTGTTCGACATGTGGAGAACGTATTGTAGGTAAGAAAAATATTGAGTGTGTCTAACTGTCTATACAAGACATAGGCTTCATTTTGAGCAACAATCACAATGCTATGCACGAATCTATGGATTTCTATTGACCCATTTCTGATTTCAAAAACATTGATCCATTTCTGATTTCAAAAAAAGATTGCCTCG